TTGCTTCTGCTGAACTGATCTAATATGGTGCAATTGAATGCAGATCGATTTACATATTTTCAGTGTTAATAAATAATTTAATCCTTTTAAAATTATGAGGTTACCGTGACAATAAAGAATATATAATTAAAGGATTAAATTATTTATTAACACTAAAAATATATGAATTGATTTGCACTCAGTGTGCACCGGTGTTGCACTAGTGTGTGTTTTCCTAATGGAAAACGTTATAAATTTTTGAAGAGACAACAGTTTTCTGCTAAAATATTTTGAGAATTTTATAGCGTTTTTCACTGGCAGAACTGGTGCGTATTCAATGCATATTAAAGCTGTTGTATACTAACTTGAATGTAAAAGTGAGATATCTCAATTAATAAAATACCTAATGTATATTTTATCAAATAGCACAATAAAATATATTAAGGATTTCGCGATTTAATTCGTTTCTATATTTTTATTAAACGTACATCTTTACGTCGATTTGTATCAACGGCTTTAAAGAGCACTGAGTGCGCACCAGCTCTATCAGTGAAAAACTATTAGATTTTGCCAAGTTTTTTTAGATACACATATAATAAACACCTTGTTCTATAATAATTATTTTGATCACCGACGAGATACTGCAAATTTTCGGCGATATAAAAAGGGCCTCAAGTACCCGGAGGTAATTGAAGAACGTTGATATTATCGACAATTGATATAAATTTGTTAACAAATATTTGGCTAATACATTATTAAATTCATAATTTTTTTATTACATAAATACTGCATAAATAAATATGCATACTTGTAAAGCTATAATATCCTATATATTGTCAAAAAATAAAAATTTTTTCTCTGCAGTTATCTCTGCTGATAATCAAATTTTGACGATAACACTGAAATCACAATTTTAAAGAAAAATCGAGTATTGTTGAGTTTTAAATACATATACATCGATAAACACGTTTACTAAACCAATAAAATTAGTACAATATTATCATTACTACAATATTACTTAATCACTTCAATATTAACTAGAACGCGAACTCTCGTAAGGATGTCGGTCTTTAATAGTACCTCGTCGGTGTTTTGAATAAAGACTCTTTACCTGACGATGTTTGACCATATGCAAAAATGGTTCCGTTATATCCTGCCAAAACATCTGTGACGATAGACTTTGCGGCTTCATTGTAGACTTTGTCTTGCGTAGCATTCGGTTTAAATACCTTGTCAAAGAGGTATACTTTGCCCTACAATTGATACATTATATAGCAAAAAATTCATGTTTAGACAACGCCAAGCCTTCAATAAAGATAAATCCTCTTATGACAATAAGAGGATTTATTTTTAATAACAATAAATTTTCCTCAGTGTAATACACTTTATTTTACATATCTAGAAGAAAACACATGCAAAATTTCAATTACATGAAACATATTGAATTTCATAGAGTTACTGTTGCATTTATCATGTACATATTTTCCATCATTCAAATTCCTAATGTCTACACTGAAAAAAAATCAAATAATAGTTACCAGTTCAGTGGAATAATTTCATATTCGGTTAATATAAAATAATATTACTTTTCTAAATATTTAGTAAGTATCCAACATAATCAAACAACTGTTAAGTAATAATTATTAAATATTTAGAAAAATAACATTGTTTTTAATAATACTTTTGAGGCTTTCACAAGTATTTTACTCAACATTCGATAGCTATTATTGTACTACATTCTTTTTCTCAGTACATTTCCATCAGATTAACTTTAATCGGTTCAACTTATTCTATCTATACTATATCTTTTTCTAATTTTTGAAACTGGAAAAATGTGAAGAGAATAAATTGAATTCAGATTAAAGTAAATCTACATAAAAGTTGCTAACTAGTACATAAATTAAATAATAAGTGAAAATGTTCAATATAAATAGGCAAAGAAGGCCATACTTAATCAAAGCGAGTTTCTGGTGTTTAATAATGTTTTGTGACTTTTTAAGAAGCTTTTTTAAGAATATTTAAAAATAGTAATATAAAATTGTCAATTTAATTTATGACACTACAGGGTTGTCACAAAACTGGAAATCAAATCAGGCATCGAATAAAATACAAAAAATTTTTTAATGTTATTAAACATCAGGAAAAATCATGAAATTTTGTTTGGAAATCAGGGAAAAGTTATGGAATTTTGGATGAGAAATTTGTAACGACTCTAATTACATACTCCAGCTTTTCAGTCTAGGACTGTGTTTCAAGACCGACAAATAATCGGCGTGCAGTTTGTTTGGAGCTGGAAATTATATAAAAAAAATCTCACAAAAATGTCATTAAATACAAAGATCCACTTCGAATATGACCTTCTTTGCTTATTTCTGGTACACAGAATGCTAAATGCAGACTGGACTTGGAAAATCCTTAGAAACATGTGTGTTATGAATCATAGTCCTATTATGGATCTATGTACACATCTATATAGATAAACATACATCTACACACAATATATGCAACAATAACGAAAAACTAGGACAGATCTGGACAGATGAAACCAAGAATGGTCCACGTTCACGTAGGCGTGAAACGGTCCACGTACCCCGATGGAGATGCAGTTCTCGTCGCCGCCGGACGGGAACTTTACGATGAACTTGGAGCCGGCTTTCTCCTCGGAGTCGTTCAGTGGCCGGAACCTGCAGACCACCTTGATGCTGTCCTCGGCGGCGATCTCTCGCTCCCTCGGCGTCTCCATTGCCATTGCGAGTGGAAGCGACGGTCACGACGGCGATGACGAAGAAGGCGCGCGCGCGCACGCCTTTGTGTGTATGTGTGTATGTGTGTGTGTGTATACGTGTATACTTAGCACTCGATCGGCACGGCCGATACTCCTCTTCGCCTCCTCCACCACCACCTCCTCTATTTAGACTGTTCTCCAACTATCCTCAGCTGCGATTGTACGTGGAGTGAGGCATAGGCGACGGGATGGCATAGGCGCGTACCGCATGAAGGGACCGTCGTCTACCTATATCTGTCTCCTACTCTCTTTCCCCTCCTTCCTCGCGCCTCTCTCACAACGCTCCGCTCCGACAAGCAGGCTCCGTCTGTCACCGTTCTCCTCGGGCAGCAAGATGGCGGCTGATAAGTGGCTGGCTGGCTGTCTGACTGGGCTTATCCTAGACCACGAGGTCTGCTCAGAGAATGATCCTCGCAGTAGACGTGACAGGCGACGATGCTTCGGCAGGACCCGCCCGCGCGCTCGCTCGCACCTATCTGACGGCTATCTCTCTCCCTCCCTCCCACTCTTTCTTTCTTCCTCTCTTTCTCTCCCCCTCTCTCTCGCTCACCCTCTTGTTCGATTCGAAAATCACGAGCCCCCGCGTACCGTTCTCTTTCGTTACAGGCCGCGAGAACGGAGGCGATTTGCGCGGCGGTTTGACAGCTACACGGCCTACCTCTTCGGAGTAATTCGGAGAAACTTTAGCGAGCGATTCCCCGAGTGCGCCCCGCGCGCGCGCGCAATCGATGACCAGTCGCGGAGACGTGACGGCGACGTTGCGCGCTACATACGCCGCACACCTACACCTACACTTTTATTATTATCATTATAGCTGGTCTTACAGCGGCACACGGGCACACTGTTGCCTCACCTTTTCAGGTACAGCCGTCTATGATCGTCCTGTTCTTTGTAGTCACTCTTATATTTATAACTCAATAAAAATTTATTATTATTATTATTATTATCGGTATAGATCTGAGCTAATTGTAAACGGTTAACGTTGTTGCCTCACCTTTCGAGGTGCAGCTCCACTGCGATCTGTATAATCGTTTTCATTGTTCATACAGTACATGAGTTCCAGCAATGTTGCAGCAACATTGCAATGTTTCAACAATACTTTAGCATCATTGCAACGCTCCAACGATATTATACAGCAGCATTATAACGCCTCAACAATGTTGCAGCAATATTACAATGTCCCAACAATATTGCAACATTCCAACAATGTTGCAGCGACATTACAACGTTCTAGCGATATTGCAGCAAGTCTGTAACGTAACTCCAGCAACATTGCAACATTTCAGCAATATTTTAGCATCATCGCAATGCTCCAACAATATTACAGCAACATTGTAACAATGTTCCCATCAATATTACAGCAATATTGCAATGCCCCAACAATATTGCAACATTCTAACAAAATTGTAGTAACATTGCAATGTTCCAACAATGTTGCAGCAGCATTGCAACGTTCCAGCAATTTTAGAGTAGCATTGCAAGGTTGCTCTGTGCTATATAGATACTTGTACCTTAATAAAGTTATTATGATTTATTATCTCCATATAAACTCATGCCTACACCTACACCCACGGTAGGACGTGGGACGTAAACGCCAGCGGAGCACGCTCCTCCTCCCCGATGACAAAAATAAGGTTCTGAGGTGTGGACTTCGTCATCTCATCGCAGTTAATCTGCCTCGCGTGTGACTCTCACCCGACTCGTTTCCGCAACGTCACAATCATTCTCGCCGGCAATATAAACAATCAAAGAAATCGATACGCCTTTTCACTCTGAAATCAATATAGCGCGAACACTGTTATTAGGTCGCAGAAGAGAACTTTAAGCGTTCGGAAAATGTCAGGTATGTTTGCAATGACGAAGTTTCTCGGAGCTTCATTCTCATCCGTTGTCCTTTTCATATTTGCTTCTCATTCGATAATTTTAATAGCGCCTTTTCTGCACTCAGTCTCTTCTCGAGATCCACTCACTTCAGATCGAAATTTGAATTTAAAATTTCGAATGCGCGAGGTACAGAATACAGGAATACAGGAAAAATACATTCGGGAAGGCGATATATCGATAAATCGATTTGTCGAAGCGCTGCAATATAAATGAATACGCTCGGACATCGATAAAATTTTATGAAATATAAAAAATTTAATACGAGACACAAAAGATACTTTCGAATGTACCATTATAAATTAACATTTTTAGATAAATTAACATCTAACTTATAAAACTTATCCTAGACATATCCACTGGATATGAATACTGATGAACACTATGAACGATTATTCACCGGGTATTCACAAATATGGTTGCCAGCCACAGTAAACTCGGCATAAATTCGTAGGATCTCGTGCTTCCTGCAGGAGTCTCTCGACCTGTCCAGGAACACTGGACACCAGACCGTCCTCGGTGCCTTGCAGCTTCTGTTCGATCCTCAAAAGAGCTCTCTTGGCGATTGTATTAGTTTCGACAGGTGCTAAAGAAAATAAAAATTAATGGATTAACTCGCGTCATAATTAATCAAGATAGTCTTGCGAGTTAAGGATTCATTTCTCTCGATCGTGATTAATTCCTCTTACCTCGTCCACTGTTTTCTGAGAAACGCTTTACGACGTCGCTCTGCATCTTGCAGGCCTTCTCCGGCGTGATCGCCCATGTAAAGAGTGGATCGTATAGCAGAACCTGAAGAAGAGTGATGATAATCTGCCTCTGATCGCGCAACATTGTCATGGTCACTTCACAACTGCGCCTCATAGTACCCTCGATGCCGGAGGCACCCATGGCGACTTCGATGTCCCTGGTTAGCCTACAATGAGACAGACAACGAGTTAATAAGGACATAAATAACGGTCGAATGAAAAAATGATAAATTTCGAGAATAGAGATTAGAATCTCATATTTGATATGGGATTCTAATAAAATAATCTAAATAATTTCTATCAACGTAGATTAACTAATCTTGGTTCAACTCATTCTTTTTCTAGTTCTAAAAATCAAAAAATGATAAAGAGTAAGTTGATCCGAGATTAGTTAATTTACACTGGTAGAAACGGGTATAAGAAGCACTAAATACGGTCAAAGCTGATGCCTAACATTTCTATGTAAATTTTAAATAAATCTTTCAGTTAAATATAAACTATGTGCCAATTAGTGTCGGACTTGAAACGCAATAATAAATTGAAGTTGAAATAACAGTATTACAATTTATATTGTATTCAATATCCAATTCATCAATTTAATAAACATTCTCTTAAGTATCTTAAAATTTACATAGAAATATTATTAGGCTATGCACCAAAACCATTAATCGAATTTGGCGCTTCTTACTTATTTATATTATTCGCATTGCACACACAGTCTAGTTTAACTTATTATAAAATAATTATTTAATGCGCTTTTCGAAGGCAAAATAATTCATACGATAACTCCACCTGAAAGGAATTGTCTCGGGAATGGGAAGGACCTTGCCCTGTTCGAAAGCCACACCAAAATCAATGTGCACCACTTCAGCGGTGTGTTCGTCTATTAGGATGTTGCTCAGATGTCTATCGCCGAGGCCCAAAATGTAACCCGCGATAGACGTGGTGGCGACGCTGCGCGTGTATGTAAGAGTCCTCTCGACCCAGGTTTCAGGTGATCGATATTTCTCTTCGAAGAAATGATGGAACGCCGGCTTCGTAAGTTTGCAGCAGTCAAGAAAGACTCTCAATTTCACCTATATAGACCAAAAGACCGATAGAAGATAAAGAGTTATAGAGATAGAAGCTAAAGGTTCGAAAATAAAATTTCGAAAATTGATATTTAAAAGTTCAATTTTGATCCATAAATATAATAAAAGTTTAATTAAAATATTAATACTTTCTCAGAGAAATTATTAATGTTAGGATTATATTTATAAAATTTAATCTGTTTAAGAATATTGAACTTTCAAATGTTAAATTAAATATTAAATAAATCAAAAGACTTAAGAAAGATGTTTACTAAAATTATATTACAAAATTTATTGTAATAAAATTCATGCTTTGATAACAGCCAGTTAGCACAATTAGTAAAGTAAGGGGTTGGAAATAACGGAGAAATTTCTAGCTATCATTTACCTCGTTTGATTCTTGCGCGACGTTCCTCATTTTGTCTCTTGCCGCTTCCGCAGTCAGGCCGCATGGATAATATTTCTTGTGCATACCTGGCTTGTCCGAGCTGCCTACCAAGGTCACTGTGATGGGTACCGTGTTGTCGCACCACTCTAGCACGCCCGACCTCTGCGTTAGCGGTACCACTTTGTACGTTCTGATACGTAGATTCCGCCGTTGCGTCTCCTTACACATGCACAGCAGGGTGTTCATCACGGTGAACACTTGCTGCATCACTGCGTCTTGCCGTAGGTCGTCTTTCCCCTTGACCAATTGCCGGAGTTGCACGCCATTAGTGCCGACGCAGATAATCTTTTTGGGCGCATTCACGCCACCGACGAATTCACAGGAATCCTGATACGATCTTACACCGACTACGTCGTCGTAATTGCCCGACGGTCTCACAGATAGACTTAGAGTTGGTAAAAGAACGTTGTTCAGGTTCTTGATCTGTAAGATCGATTGATTAGACATGGAATCAGATTTTGCATCGTGATCTATAGTTACTATTCTTTCCGAAGAATTTTTTTATATTCTTTTGATTCATAAAAATTAAATTAATAGGCTCAATTAAATAAAACAATAACAAAAATAAAAGGGGCTAAGAGCCAACGCTAGTTTTTAACTGCTAATATTTACTTTTATTATGTAAATTAGAATTTGTTTTTATGCGAATATTGAAAAGGTCCTAATATAAGGATGAAATGTTTGTTGTTATAAATTGAAAGACAGTAAATATTAGCAATTAAAAACTAGCATTGGCTCTTAGCCCCTTTTATTTTTATTATTCTTTTGATTTATATTCTTCAGAGCCTAAATTATTTATATTGCTTTCCGAAGAGATATCTAATCAATAATTAAAAAAGTACCCTGGATATTGGCTGCTCTCGCGGTATCGCATAGCGTTTATTGGGACAGCATTTGCCTTTGGGTTGCCAATAGGCAAGACTCAACAATGCCCGCGATAGGTTTTCCATTTCGTGAATGA